ATAGCGGTGTCGCCAACTTCTTTGTACATTATCGATTTTGGAATATGTAACATCATCAGACTTTACGAACAGGTCTACAGATGACCCAATTGAGATACCCGCACGGCCAGAGGTGCATTTCACTACCGCTCTTGACCTCCCATTTGCTCGTGTCTGCACCACAAGACCGCAACAAACTCTCAACTTCTTCGGGCGTTCTTGTCCGCAGCGCTGAGATATATCCATCAAACATGAGAACGAACGGTAGAATAGGGATCAAGCACGAGAAGATGAATGTTGCAGGTGATCGCCACTTGAGCGCGAAGAATGGAGCACTGAAGAATGCGCCAATACCTAAGAACGTGACCGCCAACACGCTTGCAAAGGAACGATCTTGGAGTTCGAAGATGGCAAGTCCCTCGCTCGTCTCGACAGTATCTCGCAGGATATCCTTGGCCAAATCGTCGTCAAAGTGATGAAACGCCAGGTTGAATAGTCTGAAAGGCTTCGTTCCATCTTCCCTCTTGACAAGATACTCCGGAGCTGACGACGCATCGATGGAGTTGCGTTCATAGGTCAACAGCGGGTTCTTATGGGCAACCTGTTCCCAGGCCTCGACATTTGGATGCAAGTCCGTAAGGATAAAGCGAACAGGATCCCATCCTTGAGACTGAAGGTGCGCGTTGACGGTGCGAGCTATCGAGGGCGTGGGTCCGCCACCGCCGGCACAGAAATCGATGTAAGTATAATCGGGTAGAGACGTGTTTAGCTGCTTGATCAGGACTTGGGCGCTGAGACTCGCGGGAGATTGAGACTGGAGAGGCGTGTTGGAGAGCCAGGCGCGTGTAAGGCCATCTTGGACGCGAGCGCGGAGAAAGGCGGGAAACCTGATGCCTTGTTAGGACTATTGACGCCGGTATCCCGAAGCTGCTTGTTCCAGGCTCGGGCAGTTGAAGCTCCGGAGTCGAGCTTGGATGGATATTGGGGTTGACGAAGCTCTACTAAGGTAGAGAGGTAAGGTACTAGGTAGTGGAGCTTGGTGTCCAAGTACGTACCAAGTTTGATCGTCAATCTCAAAGAGATGGAACCGAGGAACGAGAGGAGCCATTTTCTATGATAAAAATATTTTTTTCTCTGTTCAATTGACCGATTCATTTGTTTGTTGTTGGTTAGGAGTTGATGTAGGAGTTGTATGTCTTTGATCGGTAAGATGTGAAACCTGGTCGCCGTAGTCAAGTGTTACCTAGGTACGTGTGTAAACGATGTCGTCACCATAGGGTAAGTTTTTCGCAAATTAAAATATTTACAATATATATATATATATTCAAAGAGACTTAAAAGTAGCTCAGCAGGCTGAAAACATATATATAATTGAGTACGATATCGAGGACGCAGTAAAAATCGGATCGCAGAAACGCTCAATGTTTCTCGTTGTATCATCATGTTTCGTTGCCAACCTCTAAACACCTCCGTGCATCTGTACGCGCGGACACTTAGTTTCTTTGTGCCATCACAGCCAGAAATTGACGTATGTAAACATACATACTGTGTATATTACAAATATACAAGTGATTATATCTTCTCAGAATATATCCGTCTTAGATTCATTGTCTTAATGTCCTTGCAATAAGTGAATGGTTGATATTACGATGGAATATCACATAGCCTGGCACTAGTAGTGGCTGTTCCGAGTCAGATTGCATGCAGTCATCACATTTCTGTAGAAATTATTAACTACTTCGTTGGCGCGTCGGTATAAGGATCAAACCCCATACGACGCTTCGCTTCACTCCGAGCCCTCCACTGCGTTTCGCCAATCAGCCCTGTGGTTGAAGTCTCTTCCAGGAAGAAGGTAAGAATGTGGTCAGGAATAGACAGATGAGATGTTTGCTGAAACTCCTGGAGACTAGCCAGTCGTATCAGCATCTCCATTAGAGATAGAGATGTCGTAATCGCCCCGAATGGCGAACGAGCGACAAAGTTCTCTGTCTCAGCTGCTGTGACAGCTTGTCGAGAGCTCAGTCTATCAGGGCTGTTCAAAGATAGTCTCTTGATTTGATCGACGACATTCGAGTCTAAAGATCTCCTGTCTCGAGGCGTCCCGGGCTTTGATCCCCTATATCTTGGCAGCTCGAGCCTCACTGAACCTACCGAGTCGGTATCGCCGTCTTCCCCAACGTCGTCTTCGTCGTCTTCTTCGTACACCTCGAGGGCCATCCACTCCGGATCGAGATGTGGCGGGAATTTCCACTTGAAGAAATGCTCGCTCACGGGCACGACATTGCTGTCTTCCAGTACTGGGCGTCCGAGACCCTCTAGAAGTTGCCTGTCGATCTCAGCTTGATCGTCCTCATCACTCGCCGAATTTGATGTCTCGCTCTTGTCATCATCCTCGAGTCCTTCAAGAAATCCACCGACATCATCGGTTTCCTGGTGGGCCGGCAGCGCTTGAGTGTCTCGTTTCAAAAGCAAGACTGGTCTTTGCTCGCTGTCAGTGGCAGAACCAATGTTCAGAATCCTGCCTGTATCTGTGTAAAATATCTTGGACAACTGATGCACAGGAATGGATTCGCGAATGCCTGCTCGAGGAATGTCGTCGTATGGCTGAATATTATGCTCGTCATCATGGAGTCGACCGTCGTCAAGGTCTTCGATCACCTCCAGGTGGTATGCATACTCTCCCCCACGAGTCGATTCAGGATCCTGAAGGGGGAAATCGCGGGCTTTCAACGGATCCGCACAGTAGCCTCGCTTGCTGTCAAAGTAGAAGTCTCTGCGGGCTCTGCAGATGCGAACTCGTGCCTTGTGTAATACTTCCTGCCAGAGTGGCTTCCGCTCCCCATCCCCTAACCCATACCCAGTCCTGATGCTTGACGTCTCTGAACAGTGACCATTAGTGGAGACGTTGGTGTCTGCAGCTTGAGAGGCGGCATGCGGCGTCAATGTAGATGCGTGTCCGAGAAAGAGCATGTAGAGCGATAGAGTAAAGACTGGACCAATCTGAACTGGTCTATTTGGATCTTGTGCGAACTGTGTGTCGCCGACGGTGAGTAGTGTGCTGGCCTGCAACAGTCTGGATGGTGATATACCAGCAGGTAGAGATGTGGAAAGGCTCTCCCCAGAAGCAGTAATGGCCAACTGCAGAAGCGGGATCTCACGATCGATTCGGTCCAGCAGAGCCTTTATGGCGGTGATGATAGCCAGCAGGCTGTCGTGGCTGGCAGATGGTGAACGTGTCTGGGCATTGTTACTACTTGAGTTTGAACAGATAGTAGTTGCTGACTCTATGCGACGGCCCAGCGAGACAAAGTCCTTATGCAATGACTTCGCAAGGGGAGTTGCTGATTCGAGAAATATATTTCCCCGACCTGACCTAGTTGGGAGTGTTAGAATCGGACTAGGAGAAATAGCTCCAACTAGTTGCGTACTGTAGTTGATGAGCGAATGGGGTGCTTACTTGAACTCGATCAAGTCTATGGCTGGTGAGATGATCTGCAACGGTGATAGGTTAGTTACCTAGGTCTCACTCAAGCACTAGGTACCTCAGAGTAATGAATGAATAACGTTATGGCTTATGACGGACCTTTAATTTGCTATCAAGCAAGTTCCTTAACGACTTGAGTTCAGCATGGACAGCCTTGTCTTCAACTGACTTAAGGAGTTTGGAACATTGACCGACGGCATACGATGATGTTAGGGCGATGCCGGAGCGAATGGCATATCTCATGGCTTGGACGCCAACTGTTGCGAGGAACTCATCCATGATCAGGACGTTTGTGACTCGCCGTTATCGAATAACGTATCATGCTTAGAAGCACAGCTAGAAATGTTGATAGAAGAAAAGAGTTCGCGAAATTTTAGGTCGAGAGAATAGACAAGCAAAAGATTGCACGTCCCCTCACGAGAGGCCGTAACTTTAGCAGCGTTATTCACTGCACGTAACCTACCTTAACTGACCGCCAACGCATAGACTAGGTACTTACCTACCTAGGCACCTTAGGTTTCGGGCACTTACACTGAGTATAGAGGGGCAACGTGTACAGTGCGAGCATCAAGACCATGCCCCTCGCTGTAAGGCATGTACATACCTAGGTAGGTAGTCTATGGCACGTGCAGCCCTTGCTTGTGGCTGGTGTCGATACCCAGTCCGCCATTGGGCTTGAAGTCACTCAGATGATGAGATGAGTCAAAAGACGAGTCATAAGGCTGAAACCTAGTATACAAACGCATTGTAATACGTACTTTCTGGCAAATATCCCGAGTTGCTTGTAATAATAAACACTTGATTCTGCCTGTTCCGTCCCCTTGTTTCTTTGATAGATGTACGTGTGAGTCGATGAGCGCGCACAGTGTCAACCCCCTGAACTACCCTACCATCGGGGCATGAGGTTTAAGAGGTTCCAGGCCCTTGGGGAGCAAGAAAACATAAGACTTTAAAAGAGAATGTCAAAATAAACATAGCAAAGAGTCCTCTAAGCTTAAGGTAGGCTAAATTGCCCAAGTCTTTTCGTCACTGAGGATAAAGGCCCTACCTTACCCTGCTAGGATACCTAGTTGGTCCAGCGTCATCATATCCATAGCGGAGCAATAATTTTCACAGTCTAAACCTAGGCTGCCTCCCCCCACCAAGCAAAACACAAGGAACCCAAGGATATTCACAGAATCAATATAAGTAACTTGTTTGGGCGTCTTTGGTGCCTAAAATTCATCTTTTACTGACCATGACCAAACTTGACATCTCTGCTGGGTCCGAGGGTTAGAATTTATTTATCTCCCTTCCCCATTTCTCAAAGAACTTGGCATAATCCCATCGCTTGATAATCCAAAAGAAAAACACAAGCCCCATTTTCCACAGACAGGTTGCTTGCATATCTAGGGCCTTTTTAAATCCGCAACCCCATCCAGGCCTTTTAACAGTGATCGCAAAACCCTCTCTACTCTACTCTCCTCTACCTACCGCCTCTCCCTCCTCCGCCACCCCCCACTACACGACACATTCCACCGCCGTCAAATACATCAAAATGGCGACACCTAATTCTTGGGAGGATGATCCCGCTGCTCAAGATGAGAACCTCGCTCAGCAGGCTCAGCAGCAGCTCAACATGAACAACCCCGCCCCCGCGCAAGGAGGCTTCCGACCTGGCATCGCCTCTTTCCAGCCTGGTGCTGCTTCATTCCAGCCCGGCCAAGCATATGGAGGATATGCACCTCAATACCAGCAGCAGCAACAGCAGCAGCAATACTATCAGCAAGGCTACTACCCCCAATACGGTGCTCAGCAGGGCTACAACCAGTACAACCAGGGTTACGGTGGTTACAACAACAACAACCAAGGCTATGGTATGACATTTGCGCCAAAAAAAAAAAAAAATCCTTGACTATGACAAACTAACACAAAGCAGCAGGTGGTGGCTATCCCCAGTATGGCCAACAACAGCAACAGCAACAGCAACAGCAACAACCTCAGCAGCCCGCTGCTCCCACCATTGCTCAACGACCTGCCGCCGATGTTCCCGCTGCTGCTCCCAGTCAGCCTGCTGCCGCTACTGCCCCTAAGCCCAAGGTGATCAGCATCAGCGGCGATGCTTCTGGTCCCAAGCCCAAGACGAAGGTCCTCTCAATCTCAGGAACCGGTGCTGCTACTCCCGTCAAGCAAGAAGAAACCTCCAAGGCTGAGCCTACCGATAAGCCTGAGGATGGTCAGAAGGCCGCAGCCGTAAAGGCGATCGAGAAGACAGGCGAGAAGGCCGGCAAGGCTGCCACCGCTAAGACCTCTGGTAAGACCTCACCAAGCCCTGGCTCTGGTCGCAACAGTCCCACCGCTGGTGAGAAGAAGGCCGCCGCCCGAGAAGTTGATGCCGTCGAAAAGGAGCAGGCCGCCGACGTCGACCAGGAGACTCTCAAGGAAATTTACGGCAAGGAGCACGTCAACATCATCTTCATGGGACACGTTGATGCCGGAAAGTCAACTCTTGGTGGTTCGATCTTGTATGCTACCGGTATGGTCGACGAGCGAACCATGGACAAGTACAAGAGGGAGGCCAAGGACCTAGGCCGCGAGTCTTGGTACCTGTCATGGGTCATGGATCTGAACAAGGAAGAGCGAACACAAGGAAAGACCATCGAGGTTGGCCGTGGTTTCTTCGAGACCGAGAAGCGTCGTTACAGTATCCTTGATGCCCCTGGCCACAAGATGTATGTCCCCAACATGATTGGAGGTGCCTCTCAGGCCGATGTTGGTATTCTCGTTATTTCCGCCCGAAAGGGCGAGTACGAGACAGGTTTCGAGAGAGGTGGACAAACCCGTGAGCACGCCATGCTGGCCAAGACACAGGGTGTCAACAAACTCATCGTCGCCGTTAACAAGATGGACGACCCCACCGTGGAGTGGTCTCACGAGCGATACCAAGAGTGTACCACTAAGCTCGCCCAGTTCCTCAAGGGCACTGGTTATAACCTCAAGACTGATGTTTACTTCCTACCTATCGCCGCTCAGCAGATGATGGGTATTAAGACCCGCATCCCCAAGGATGTCGCTCCTTGGTGGGATGGCCCCGCGCTGCTCGAGTATCTTGACAGCATGAAGGCTCTCGAACGCAAGGTCAACGCCCCTTTCATGTTGCCCATCAATGGCAAGTACCGTGATCTTGGTACCATGGTGGAAGGCAAGATTGAGGCTGGTGTTGTCAAGAAGGGTATGAACATGATCATGATGCCCAACAAGACCAACGTAGAAGCTGCTGCCGTCTACGGCGAGCAGGAAGACGAGGTCCAGCTAGCTCAGTGTGGTGACCAAGTGCGAATAAGGCTCAAGGGTATTGAGGAGGACGATATCTTTCCCGGATTCGTGCTCTGCTCCCCAAAGAGACTGGTGCACACTGTCGCTGAATTTGAGGCTCAGATCCGTATTCTGGAGCTCAAGAGTATTCTGACTGCCGGTTTTAACTGCGTGCTACATGTCCACTCCGCCATTGAGGAGGTAACATTCGCAGCCCTTCTACACAAGCTTCAAAAGGGAACGAACCGCAAGAGCAAGAACCCCCCTACACATGCCAAGAAGGGCGACAGTATTATCGCCCGTATGCAAGTGATTGGCGGAGCAGGCGCTGTGTGCGTGGAGAAGTTCGAGGACTATCCCCAGATGGGTCGCTTCACCTTGCGAGACCAGGTAGGCTTCATTCACCCCCAGCCCCAACACACCCATTCCCCGTTCTCCATTCTACTAAACCCCCATGCGTTTGGGTCCTCGTCCCCAGATGGCCAAGAGACCATTGCCGTTAAGGCGTGGTGGCAAGACTCATCGGGAGTTCCTCAATATTCGGATATCAGATAGCTAACATGATACACGCACAGGGACAAACCATTGCTATCGGCAAGATTACAAAGCTCATCTTCAATGAGGCTTAAATGAATCATGACTGTTTTCAATTCGCGTACAGTTGCGATTATGTGAGACCAAAACAGGTCACGCCAAGCAAAAGTATAGGGGAAATGTAATGGACATTCACCACAATCATCTTCGCAAATCATCACCGCCCCGACGGCTTGGCGCTGGGGAAGTTACGGGGTTACCAGGGACGCGGTGCCGGAATTGCATAGGATGATAGGGAAGCCGCTTGTGTTACCCGCCAGAGGGACATCCAAAATGATGACATGAAACAAGAGACAGTAGGCGATATTATGATGGCTGCCATACATTCTCTGTACTTCAAGTGTATATAGACAAGCAAGTGAGAAAACAAAAAAGGAGGATGACGGGAATCATGACACACTAGTTGCCTCGCTCACGTCTTCATATAGCAAATAAATCATGACTCTCACACGTTCAGGATAAATGCTGTTCTTTGAAAGAGGGCTGAACAATGCTGTCTTGGAAACCGATAGACGAAAAGAATGAATTCCATACAATTGGACAGGAAGCACGGCATGTGTGCTTATTGTAGCCATTTAACGTGGAGAGACACATTGAGGGTCGAAGTAACTGAGGTAAGATCATGATACTGAGACAGGAGGGGGAAAAGTGAAGGATGGACGAAAATGACAAACCGAGAAGTTATCGTCCACCTGAGATCCGAGTCAAGGGGCAGCCTATGATGAGGGGAAAACTCAGAGCCGGTGAATCATGTAAAGCACAGGTTCGGCAAAAGGAGATATTTCGCCGTCGTCTCTTGACCACCCTTAGAAATCTGCATGAAGTCACGATAATTGAGAATCTAGGCCTTAGTTCACGATACGTAACCCCAGTCTCCTGCTGCAAGATATTGCAGGGATCTCGACTTTGATGGACGGTATCCGAGGTCAGTTAGTGAACGGCAACGGGACGGAGATCCAAAGGAGGATATTTGCATGGGCTTGATGGCGTTTGGTTGATGGACTATCAAGATCGAGGGTTGGAGCAGGGAGGTTTGTTAGCGAGGTTTATGAGCACGAGGAAAAGCCGGGACGGTCCAAGGAAAGCGTTACAGGGCGCTACATCATTGTTCTAGAGTTGAGAAGCGGTGACCGAATGGAATTCCGAGATGAGTATGGGGAAGAATGATGCATATCCATATCCATGTATGGAAGGGAACAGGTATTGCGGATGCGGTTGCGGGTGCGGATCCCTGTACGGCGCTGGCTGGCTGGCAGCGGCCCAGCGGATCGGGAGTTGGGGGAATGATAGATGCGTCAGGATACGGTAGAAAACTGTATGTCGTGTTGATGTGAGCCCCAGCACCACAACGGTCTCGTTACGGAAGTCTTTTCGGAAGGTTGCCGAGAGGACGGAGGTGTACGGAACACTGTTGGGTTCAAGGTGGATCAGCTTTGGAAATACTGATCAATGTCAGTCCGTACAGCGGTTCCTGATATTGCATTATCATGATCAAACCTGAAGCAATATTTAGTGCCCAGGATCAAGGTAGTCGCGAACTGCTTTGATATTTCATGGCAATTTGAAGGTCGGGCGGAAGGGGATCTCAGTCTTACTCCGACAGACGCACAGCAGTGATCGACGCTACGTCTAATATCAGTTTGTTATCTTGAAAGATAACATGAAGTTGAGCATGTAGGTATGGACAGGGGCCTGCATCGCAAGCTTGATCAAGGTGAGCGAGAGTGGTTGACATCGCATACCGGAGGCATGCGGAGGTGACGGAGCCGGGTGACGGAGCACGATAGTCAGGAAGTTAGCCGAAACATGGTAGACAGGCGCCCGCAACGGGAGTAATAGTCGTACCGGGTGTGACATTATCCCTGAACTGTGATATGCTTCTCTTGTGAGAAGAATAACCCCCGCAACCCCATTTCCCCACGCAGTTCTTGAACCCCAGCTGCCCAGCCCCAAAAACGTAATCTAGATGGAGGCTCTGAGCGGAGAAACGGTCAGAAACGGACACTCGGATAATATCGGAATCTTCAGAGAGACGGTTTGAAGAGGTGAGAACCGGCAGAGGGGCGTGTACATTCAAGGTGAGCATGAAGCCAATCAGAGTCGCTGATCGTAAAATTCGAGTCCTGTGGAGAAAGGCAGGGAATGCAGGTTCTGGTCTGTACGTCACCCAGATCCCGGTAGAGGCTACCCACGGGAAGCTTTTTGCATTATATCGTGACTTTTTGTGATTTTGCCTAACGACTGATGCTGGCGAACGAGATGAGTTGCGGGGCGAAGCACAAGAAGACCACAATCGAGCCCAAGTGCCAGTGAGACCCAAGTAACTAAGCGAGACCCTGGGATTCTAGTCCAATAAATCGAAATTTTTTCAAGTCATGACTGATCTTGACTGGGTAACTGGAGTCATGTGCAGAGTCTGTTCTAAAAGTATCCCAGGCTGGTGTTGAAAGGTGCAAGGGAAGGAAGGGTAAGCGAGAGTGCCAGAGTCTAGAAGCCTCCCTCCACATTAGATTGTTCAGAGCTGAACATCAACAATTCATCCGAGGTGACGGAAATAGAGTCCCAGTTGACTGCCGTGCTAGTGCCAGGTACAAGACATCGTCAGACTTTGAGAAATTGAGAAGACGCACACGATGACCGTGATCTAAGAACAGACGTGAAGTGGAAGACACAAAGGTACATTGGATTCATCTGCTGGTATTCAAGCATGGAAGGTAAGGTGATTTATGAATTACGTTATATCAGCAGGTTGACAAAAGAAATCTTCTTTCCCTAAGGTACTGCAATGCTTCACTTCAGTGATGGAAGGAAAGCTAGGTGGAAGTTGTCGGTTCCCGATGGCGCCTGCAGGAGATCATTCAAGTTCTGGGGGATAAGGGGAAGGTACAGCTCTCAGTTTTTCCAGCGGTGGAAATACCTGGCCCCAAACAATAAAACCTGCCATTGGTGAATCGCGGGGTAGCCTTAGACCCGACCCCCAGGGTAACTTGGAAGGAATGGAAAGAACTGCAACTGCAACTGCTTGTTAAACCTGTCATTTACAACCCGATTCGTTCTTACTTACACCATCAACAAATAATAATAAGGCATGCTTTCATCTACCTGTACCTAGCACCTCAACTTCAGTCTACGTATCAGCTACCTAACCTTAGGTCTCTTACCATGCCCTCTGTTGTAATTCTTCAGGTTCGAGGCACATATTAGTGCTAGCAGCTGCTGGAGTTACACCAATCTTACACTTGTTTGCAGCTTGAATTCAGATACATGCCAGATGCTCTCCATTCTCGCCTGCGGAGCCGTAGCGTCAAACTTGATCCTTTTCTCTCCGTGCCGTATCCACAGTCTCCCTGTTTGTTCCTGTCTGGTGACCAACGAGTTTCAGCAGCACAGACATCGTATACCGACGGGTTTGAGGTGAGACTCGGTGCTGTCGCTCTTTTCTGCCTAGGTACCTCCCTCTTCTTCTCCGCAATCTGCATCTCAGCCCTAGCTTGCTCACCTTGAGTTATCCCCCTTTTGCTCCTTACCGCTCCCCATCCCCAGAGGCAGCCTTGGCGAGCTTGTTTCTCCATGATCTGTTTTTGGTTTTTACCTTGAATTACATAGTCTGCTGACTTGTATGGAAGAGAGACAGCACCGGTCAGCGTAAGCGTTACAGCACGTAACCCAATGGTTTTGATGTAGATTGGTTTCCCGCCTTTATTGCAGTCTTGGCTTTTTCTACCAGGCCCTGGGGAGTAAAACAACTTCTGACATCAAGCCGAGGTGCCAAAATTAGCTGGCCCAAGGTCTGCTGAAGCCTACTAAACCTATCAAAGTCTTTTTGTCGTTTAGGACATAGGTCCTAAGTTTTTCTTGCTTCCCTTTGCCAAGATAAAGGACGATTAGTCGCCAATGAGGTGTGATATTCGCCTTCAATGCCAACCCACATGTGCAGCATGCACAGCTTTCCATCCATCGCCATCCACTACAAGCAGGCAGACGAGCCTCAGGGTGTAAGAAGACTTCTGACGTTAAACTAAGGTGTCAAAAATACTTAGTCCAAGATCCTCTATATCTTTACTAAACTATACTAAATTACACTAAGTTTGCCTAAGGCTTTTTGTCACCTAGGATGAAGGTCCTAGGTTTTATTGCATCCCCTTGACGAGCGAGTTAGGAAACATAGCATCTGTATTGCATGTACCAAGAGACAACCCCTTGTTCAATTGGGCACACCCTCGCGATAAAGACCAACGAGGGTTGCAGGCCTCACCCCTACATAGTCCCAAAACTTAAAGGAATTCAATGTCCGAATACCTCGTCAACTTGACCCCTCGAAGAGCTTATTGATACATATCGCCGTACTGTCCCGATGATAGTGAGAATGATGATAACTGTGTCCCGGTCCTTGCTAGGAGTTACGAGACGGCTGTGGCACGGTTACATACGGTAGGTGGCCCGGGCCACAGGACAAATATAAGCATTCGCGACAATACAGGCATATCATTTCAGTTAGATATGGTTACCAAGGTCGACGCCAACAGCGAGTGGTATAACCAACAGTATCTGCATTGCAAGCATATGCGTACCTATATGCATGCAAACAAAACGGGGTATAGAAAGTATTCAATGTGTAATTGAAATGCAGCCGAGTCTCTTTCACCGGAATATCGCGGGTCTCGCTCGTGTTGATGTGGTATTCTAGGTAGTTTGGGGCCTTTCCTTGGGCTGGGACTGGCGATCATGACGACACATTTGCTTAATAAAATGCATCACGGACATGACGATAGCCTCACGACTTTGGACAACAGGGAAAAGAGCGAGCAGATTTTCGTTAATTTAGCTGTCCAGTCTTCAGAATTATGAGGCGGTTATAGGGTGAGACTTCGAGAATTTGCAGCATCAGGCGGCTGCAATGGAAGCCCGTATATAAGAATATCTGGAGGGAAAACACTTACCCTGCATTGCAGTACTGTAGTTTCCTCCCTTTTACTCTTTTACCACCAACAACGTGACTATCAGCTGCTTGCTTGCCATTCAATCTTCACCACCACCTCCACCGCCTGAAGGAAAAGAGATCAGCCGTCTTGGGGAAACACAGTAATCCTACCGCACCGTACCGTACCGTATCTTGCCGTCACCACAACGTCAATTCGATACGTCTAGAAGTAAAGGCGCTATCCGCACGGCATCATCCACATCCACATCGAGGCCAGCAGATCCAACCAAGGATTGGATCCTTTCGTCCATTTCTTTCTTTCTTTTTGGCTAGGTACTCAGTTGTTTTGGTTATTCCCCCCCCCCGTTATTGAACACCTTGACCACTGCTATCGTCGTTGTTGTCTTCCGGCATCTTCCTGGATTTGGGCCTTAGTCTTTAGTCTTCCCCGCCAAAACCTTGACGCTTTGCTCATTGTTCCAAGAGCTTGCAAAGACCGGGGTTGGGTTACGTTTCGTGACCCCCTCCGTCCCGCAATATCCCATCATTAGAGCTGGCTTCCAGATCGTGTCTTCGGGTACGGCCCCAAATTCAAGCCCAGGCCAAGGCCCAGGTGTCCTATCCCGTCACCTTGTACCAAGACCAAGAGGTCTCTTCCGGGATAATATCGTGCCCATCACCTGCAACGCCTCGCCGGCTCCACTACGCGCTTGTCTCTGCCAGTCACAGCCTCAATCCCCATCCGTCCCCGTCCATATCCATCCTCGGGTCTGACCCCGGCAAGCGGACGCTATCTATCTTGTGGAGGAGCACACCGCGAACCTCACACCCCAGGGCGTACACTACCAATTCTCGAGCTGCTCGTGAAGCTTTTATAAAAGCCATGAATGACCCCGTCAAAAGAAGTGCTTCTCTCTATTCAAATCAACTTCTCAAAGGTCCAAGCACACAGATCAAGGCTCCAGGAACCGGTTTATTCAAGAGTAAGTCTCGACTTTGTCCCTCCATTGACAGTTCACCTGTCTTGTCATGATACCCTCACACACCTACTTCCCACTCACTCTCTATGGCGGAGCACCAAACAAAACGGCTACCGTTGCACGAGTCTCAAAAAATCATTACTGACTTAATCGCAGTGCTTCCCAACAACGTTAACAAAACTTCTCTCCACCCTACCGGTGTTACGTACGTTCCTCATGGTACTTGATCAGTCACACGGACGGTTTCACTAACACGGGCTTTACAGTCCTCACCAGGAGCATACCGAGCTGGAACAGGAGCTCCACGACAAGGCTCACATCGATTATGATCGTGTCGCCATTGTAAGAAGCTCTCCAGTCAACAGTGAAATGGACTGTCACTGACATGTGATTTCTCAGATTCCCAACCCTTCAGTCGCTGCCCTCTACGAGGATGCCCTTGTCTACGAGACCGGTACCGCTATCACCTCCAGCGGTGCCCTGACTGCCTACTCTGGTGCCAAGACTGGTCGATCTCCCCTTGACAAGCGAATTGTCGAGGAGGCTTCCTCCAAGGACAATATCTGGTAAGCGATAACCCGAATAGCGGCAACAGAGTTTCGTCTGTTGCGCAAATGAATCGTCATGAGCAGACAAACTAACAAGAGAACAATAGGTGGGGACCTGTCAACAAGCCCATGACTCCTGAGGTAAGAATCAAATCGGCAATTTCCTTTGATACATTCTATACGATCGGATCGTTTGTGACTACTTGCCTGCGGCGTGGCATCTTGACTCTTGTTTCCCAGCCTTGGGAACACGAGAAAATCTGCCTACATCACGAGCTTTACGCCCATAACCAAGACGAGCGAACCAAAACAAAACGTCGAGACCCGCGCCGGAAGAGCATCTCCATTCCAGCGACTTCAATTGGCTTTCCCCCGAGGATACCCGGAGCACGAGCGTCATGGTTTTGATGGCTTGTCCACTGGTGCTTATTCTCTTACCCAATTGTCTGGTCGCTGGTTGGTAGATGTTTGGCCGAGGGCTTGTCTAGTGGTTCATTGGCCTAGCGCTATTGGACCCGGTTCGCTTGTTCCCCTGGTCTTTCCGGGGAGGGTCTAGAGAAGTTGAGGGAGGGTGTCATGGGATCGGCAATCGCTAGGCCTTGACCCCGCAAAGTCCTCACACGCTCACCTTCCCCTCTGGCAATTGCTCACGGCTTCAGACCGAGACACCAAGTCCCGCCCCTCTTTTCTCACCGTCCACGATTTTTCCCGACACGGATGTCCTTTACCATTTCTGGATAGGCTGCCGTTTGTCACATTCCCGTGCATGATCTCATTGCACAGCTTCATCTTTTAGAATCAATGACTGACAATATTATCACTGCAGGTCTGGAAGATCAACCGAGAACGTGCTGTCGATTACCTCAACACACGAAGCCGAATCTATGTCATCGATGGTTTCGCCGGCTGGGACGAGAAGTACCGCATCCGAGTTCGAGTTATCTGCGCCCGTGCCTACCATGCTCTCTTCATGCGAAACATGCTTATCCGACCTTCACGGGAGGAGCTCAAGGACTTCCACCCCGACTACACTATCTACAATGCTGGCAAGTTCCCCGCCAACAGATACACCGAGGGTATGACCTCTGGTACCTCCGTCGCCATCAACTTCGAGCAGAAGGAGATGGTCATCCTCGGTACTGAATACGCTGGTGAAATGAAAAAAGGAGTCTTCACTGTCCTCTTCTACGAGATGCCTATCAAGCACAACGTCCTCACCCTCCACTCCTCTGCCAACGAGGGCAAGAATGGCGATGTCACACTCTTCTTCGGTCTCTCTGGAACTGGCAAGACCACTCTCTCCGCCGACCCCAACCGAGCTCTCATTGGTGACGACGAGCACTGCTGGTCCGACAATGGTGTCTTCAACATTGAGGGAGGTTGCTACGCAAAGACCATTGGCCTGTCCGCCGAGAAGGAGCCCGATATCTTTGGCGCTATCCGATACGGTTCCGTCCTCGAGAACGTCGTCTTCGACCCTCTCACCCGTGACGTCGACTACGACGATGCCACCCTCACTGAGAACACCCGATGTGCCTACCCCATCGAGTACATCTCCAACGCCAAGATTCCTTGCCTGTCTCCCAACTCCCCCTCCAACATCATCCTCCTCACATGCGACGCCCGCGGTGTCCTGCCCCCTATCTCCAAGCTCGACCGCAACCAGACTATGTTCCACTTCATCTCTGGTTACACCTCCAAGATGGCCGGTACTGAGGACGGCGTCACCGAGCCCCAGGCTACCTTCTCCAGCTGCTTCGCCCAGCCCTTCCTTGCTCTGCATCCCATGAAGTACGCCAAGATGCTTGCCGACAAGATTGAGACTCACAAGGCCAACGCATGGCTCCTCAACACAGGCTGGGTTGGTGCCGGTTTTGCTCAGGGTGGCAAGCGATGCCCCCTCAAGTACACTCGTGCCATTCTCGATGCCATCCACTCTGGCGATCTTGCCAACGTCGAGTATGAGAACTATGAGGTCTTCAACCTCCAGGTTCCCAAGACCTGCCCTAACGTCCCCTCAGAGCTCCTCAACCCCTCCAAGGCCTGGACCGCTGGCGAGGATAGCTTCAAGACCGAGGTTGTCAAGTTGGGCAAGCTCTTCCGCGAGAACTTCACCAAATACGAGAGCGAGGCCACTGAGGACGTTGTCAAGGCTGGTCCCGTTGTCTGAAAAGAGGAAGAATAAGGGGGAAAAGAAGAAAAAGGAAAGCGATTTTTTTTGCGATTGGTCATGACAAATTCGAGCAACTGTTTATCATCTGGGACCGGCGTCATTACATGGCGGCCATCAACCGGCTGCCCTCATCTTTTTTTGTCCAAGGATTTCTTATATAGCACGAGATTGTGTGTAATGTGAGCATGAACAAAGCTTTACGATTTCTGCAATAGAAAAGTATTTACCACTGATTTCTGACGTCTATTTTGCGTGTGACCCGGCGACTTCAGATGATAAACATTCTTATATTCACCACTGCCAGTGAAGGCGAAACAAAACACATTCAATGTGGGCAAAGGCATAGATAAAGCACGAAGATACCATTCAGCGAAATTCTGTGCATCTATCTAGGTACCTAGGAGATCTCCTAGAACAATCAGATCCGTCGCAACATCCTGTCAACAATGCTTCCTCTCAGCTCCAGCAACTGCAAGCTGTGCTCACCCTGTCCTAAAATCGCATGTTCGATGAAGTCGATGACATGTTCATTCATAGCTTGACCAGCTATCCGCTCAAGAATGGTCGAATTTACCAAGCGGCAACGGGAGTGGCAGTGTCAGCACCCCAGGCATCCCCAGCACCAGCCTTAACGCCGTCGTCCGCACCCCAAGCATCCCCGCCGCCAACGTTGCCGTCATCACCGCCACCACCCCAAGCATCCCCGCCAGGGGCATCGCCAGCATTGTTGCCAGCATCCTCTCCCCAGGCGCCGCCAGCGTCACCAGCCCCAGCGTAATCGTTGGGGTCGAAGTCAGAGTCTGCCTCAAACTTCAAATTGTTGCGAGCTTCACCTTCGGGAACATACTGCTGGAGGAAGTCGGGGATTTCCTGATTAGTCTCCAGGAGTGTTCGGGTGAGAACACTGGCCATCGGCTCATCACGCTCAGAAAGAAAAGACGTGGCCACACCGCGATGGCCGATGCGACCAGTTCGGCCTAGTCATGTTAGTCAGGGAGTCCCAGATAGAAGAGAAGAATCTTACCGATCCGATGAGTGTACTCCTCAATGCCGCCGTAGTCGATGGATGGCATGTCGTAGTTGATGACATGCAGGACATTCTGCACGTCAATGCCACGGGCAGTCACTCCGGTAGCAATGAGAATTGGAGCCTGTCCAGAGCGGAAAGCCCGCATCGCGGCCTCTCGCTCCTGCTGGGTCCGATCACCGTGCATCGATGTGACCGGCAAATGCATGTTAAAAAGAAAATCGTCCAAGTTGTCTGCAGCCTGGCGACTGTTCACGAAAATGATGGTGCGAATGCCATGCATTTCCTCAAGCAGCTTAACCAAAAGCTCCTTCTTCTGGGGGGCTTCGACCTGCAGAACAATCTGCTTGATGTTGGAAGTTGTGCTTCCGGCACGGCCAACACGGAAGCGGACATGAGATGCCGCGAGATAATCCTTTGCCAGATCACGGGCGGCCTTGGGGAACGTGGCAGAGAAAAGGCTGTATTTGACGTTGCCCTCATCCTGTTCTGTTAAATGATTAGTTTCTGGTCGTCTGCGTAGGTATATGGCTATGCTTACCACCACCGGACAAGATTGGGCTAAGCTCCTCGGACCAGTCGTCATTCAGGAGTTCGTCAGCCTCATCAATCACCGTGTAGCGCAGGCGCCGCAGGGTCAAGACATTAGGGCGTTGGATAAAGTCCACCAGGCGCCCAGGTGTTCCGATCAGGACATCGCATCCTTTCTGCAGAAGATAGGTCTGCTCCTTTACAGGAACGCCCCCGTAAACGACACCGGGACGGAGCATGGTGCGATAACAAAGCTTACGAGCTTCATTGAAGATTTGAACCGCCAGTTCACGAGTGGGGACCACAATGAGCACAAGCGGCTCAGCAATTACCTCGTCGAGACCCTCGCGGAACGTCAAGGGGTTGGGACGATACGCAGCAAGCTTCTTGGCCTTGCCCATGAGCTTGCTGAGAATGGGGATGAGGTACGCAGCAGTTTTGCCGGATCCTAAATGCAAATTAGTGATGCCGGTAAGCATCTCAGGAGTCAAACATACCTGTTTGAGCGATGCCAATGACATCGTGTCCCATCAAGATAGATGGAATAGTAAACTTTTGAATAGGCGTCGGGTTCTCAAAGCCACAAAACTCGATGTTCTCGAGCATGGCGGGATGAACGCCAGCATCCTTGAAGGAGCCGATGGGATCGATTTTGGTAGGACCCTCCTGCTGAACCTCAATGCTCTGAATTCTATGACAAGGTTAGATGACAGGTAATCCAGGAGCATGTATCAACTTACTGAGAGAAGTCGAGTCCAACTCGGTCGTGGCGAGTAGTGGGATCTCCAAACAATTCGAGCTCGAGCTCAGGATACTTTGGGCCGACATCACCATACTCATCCTGCCAGGCATAGGCACGGGCGTTACAACCCCACTGCTGATCACCACCACCGGCAGTCATGGACGTATAATCGATTGCCTGGGGCTCAGTCCATTTGCCCTGTGACGCATCGTATCCCTGAGTGCCGGGAGTTGCGGATTGGTCCTTCTGATCAACGCTAGGGAGCGCTTCGCTCATGGCAGCGGTACCGAAAGTGTCCGCCATGGTGGTGTTTCTGTGGGTGTATAGTTAGATGGATGTTCATAGATAATGGAACCTGCGGAACAGAGAATGAGAATTAAAGGACTGACTTGGGAGTTGGAAAGTCTCGAAACGAGAGAGGCAGGCCGAAACCAAAGAGAAGTAGCGTGCTTTAAGAAGGAAGATCAGCTAAGTTCCAATACGAGTTGAGGAATCGCGCGTAATGCGAGAAGTAGATACGAAAGGTGAAAGGCGAAAGGCGAAAGGCGAAAGGCGAAAGGCGAAATAGGCGTGAGGAGAAGAGAAGAGATGGCCCAAAACATGACTGGAGATGGGGTAAACAAGAGAAACATACCAGGTAACAACTTCCTGACAACACAATAGAGACTGCAACTCTTTGCAGCTCTCTTAATGTTATAGTCGAAGAAGAAAAGGAATATCTGACTCTTCTCAGGCGAGAAGTTGAGCAGACTGAAAGTGAAGTCGAAATGCAGATGTGAAGAAGGAAGGGGGAGAAAGAAGAGAAGAGAAGAGAAGAGAAGAGAGGTTGAGGAGTGGCTATTTGTACTTCTTCCTGCACCGACTGTGCCCGCTGTGAATCACAGGCTTCGCAGGATTAAGGCATGCGAGTGCCTGCAGGGACGAATTGCTTCTTGTTTACCGTTCGAGGCAGGTGCCCGTGTGTCAGAGGGTAGCAGCTTGCCGGCCGGCTGCCACTGCCATTGCGAACTTTGCCTTACTTCCTGCAATCAACACAACAAATGGAAGCTGCACCTACTAAGATTGGAGGCTCATGCCCCAATGGAAGCAGTAGGGATTGTTCCTGGTGAGTGAATACGGAGAAGTGCCATTCTGTGAGTGTTCACTCTTGCTATTTCACAGTTTGGAGTTGGTTCAAAATCTATAAAGCTCTAGTGTCAAGTTGCAGATTGACGTTTGCCGAATTGAGGAATAACATTGATGGATTGTCACATTCGCCTGATATATTGCTAGTAAAATTAATGGCTGTTTATGTTGTTTTGGTGATTGTGACTTTGCTCTGCATATCTGCCATGGGAATGCTTACAATGAGGTCTGCCTTTGTTGTCTATACTTACATTACAGTTCAGATAATACCATCACAGCCTGGAAGCGCTGGCATGTTGTATGATTAGGGTTCTAGTAAACTGCAGAGCTACGGAGCTAGACAATGATGATTTTATTTCCATAAGATTGTCACAGCTTCAAAGTGGAAGGAATTTAATAGGTTTGGGCCTGAACCCTCAAACACCAAACAATACCCTACCTTAGTTACTAAGGTACCTCAGGGATGTAGTAACCCGTTTCGATATTCCTTGATTGGCCCAGATGTGTTCATGACAAACAAGGGATCCGGATCTTGGTACTGTCGCAAGTTACACAGCTACACAGCTCAATGGAGACAAGCCTTGCTCGTCATGATCACACAAAAGTTGTTACTTATAACAACGCTAAGCTCGGACAGGGTGGGCGACTATTTCCACGCAACAGAGCGATAAATCTTATTATGAGATCAGCATGAACTCTTCACCAGAGGCTCAAAAGATCCTGGGTATCCATTGCCGTCGAACTTTCATATTCGCCCATTCCGTCTTGAAGAACCTTATCAAGGCCAGCTGCCGCTCGACCAGTAGCACCACCCTCCTTTTTTGCTTGGTCTGCACCTTTCAGCACTGCTTCCAAGAACCTTCGCTCAAATACTCGTTGCCTGGCATCCCGACTGGGATACATTTCCCTCTCTTCGTCTCGTCGAGTACCATAAAGGTTAAGATATTCAAATGCATTCGAGTCTTGTGGGATTCGATATAAGTTGTCCCATATCTCTGACTCGTCCTCGGGAATTGCAGCTTCAGGCCGAAGACCAGCCTCCAGAAACCGTGATAGCATGGTGATTTGTCGGGCATATGTCGAAGCATCTTTTGCCCGCAAACCGGATCTTGAGCCAGAAGACCATCCGGCTTTTGAAGTTGTCAATGCCCACCCCATCATGGCACAGAAACTGTTTAGGGTCTTCACCCAACCTCCAGGACACACGATCAAGTCGTTCTCTGCAACCTCCAAGATCCATTCCATTACACCAAGAGAATCATTGCTGATGTCCGCCGAGAGGTGTGTCATACCCGCCCGGATAAACATGATGGCTTGCTCCACGCTGTGTCTCACCTCTTCGGCAGGTAGCTCTCTGAAAAGCTTCAGTAGTTGACTTCGAACTGGCGTCGAACTATCTGATATGAGTGGAAGCAGCTTGGCGAGAACCGCATGTGTTCCCACAGGATTGACAGGGGGTTCTGCTGAAAGCTGTGAAGTAAGATAGGCCAATGCTTCTCGTCTTTGTTTGTCCGATTTTGAAGAAGAGGCGAGTGAGAGACTATGTTTGAATTGTTGAACGACATCAGGTGCGACTGTTGAGAGTGACTGATGCCCCATCACAATAGCTATGACCCATCAGTAATTGAAGGGAAACACACCCAAATCTCCTCACCCTTTGACTTGAAACTTGTATCTGTGAAATTGGAGGATTTTGGCTTATCCTTTCCCACCTTGAACTTGGGTTTCTACCTCTTGTTGGTGAGTTGCATTTCAACAATTCTGTAGTGATTAAAATCATACCTGGAAGTCCTTTTGCTTCTCGCGCTTCTTCTTGTTGCTGGAGCCCATGGTGTCGGTTTATCGAGACAACTAAACAGATGTATAAAAGCAATGAGTGAAGTTCGGATACCGTACAATGTCAGGCCAATCCCAAGATAGTCTTTGTTATCGAAGTACTGAGGTTTGGATTCTTTGATCTTCAACTGATAAGATCTACTTTCCCTGTTGGGGTTCTAAAATTTTGGCGGTGTCGGATGGCAGAACCTCCACCATGCCCCGCGGCGTCACCTTAACGCAAGGCCCGACCACGCTAGTATAATACATCGGCGACAACCAGCGGTATCGTACATCGCCATATTCAGCTACTATAGCAGAATGACTGAATCTTCACTGGTATGCTGCTAAAAGAGTCTTGAGGTATTTTGCGAAGCTAATAAATGGACAGGCTAATGGCCCTGATGCCCTTGAGGAGAAGCTCGGCCGATTGTCAAAGAAGCCTGGTGTTAAAGCCAGCATCATTCTTGACCGAACCACCGGCGCTATCCTGAAAACCAGCGGCCAAATCGATGCTCTCCAGACCTCTAAGACGCGAACCACATCTACTGCAACATCATTTTCCAATGAAGGTCCTGCACTAGAGGAGAGCGAAACGAAAGGAGTCGAGCAATTCGCCGCGATCGTCTGGAACTATGTGAATAGCTCCGGAAGCTTGGTTCAGGAGCTGGATAGTGAAGTGAGGATCATCATAGGCGTCACAGGATCATAGCTAACAATCAGCAGGATGAGCTGAAGCTTCTCCGCTTACGAACAAGGAAGCAAGAATTGGTCATTGTACCCGATCCCAAGTATTTACTTGTGGTTGTGCATGACACGCCTCCAGCTTGAGCTACGAAACACGCTTATCTAAGTCTTACCAATGTCTGGGCGTCCCAGATCTCCCACTTACCGACTTCCGCTGAAGGGCTAGGGGAGCGGTTTGCATCGATTCGAGAAAAATGTTCTGTTTCATCGACTGATCAACTGGGAGTGTGGCGGGCCGTGGAATCGACAAGATGCAGGAATTATTACTGGTGTGTTGCATTCGGGATGGTCTTGAGTAAGGCAAGACATCTTGAACGAAATTACGATTGAAACACATGGGGTAGGGCAAGCGCAGGCACCTCTGCCATGCCTCAAAGGGAAGAAAGAACAAGAGAAGCATATTAACATGGGTCAAAAGGGCTGGAATCTGCGCCCTCGCGGCTATCCCGTTACGCGATTTCCTTTTACTGTGCTTCCCGTCACTACGGGACTATCACGGGGTCCGCACGATGCCCAATGTCCGGCATAAAGAATTGGGATGGGAAAGGCAAATAAAACCGCAGCTGTAAGTAGCCGCGTGTTTCGAAGATTTAATGGGCCGAACAATTACAGTTGGATTGCGCCCCTTGTTTCACAAGGGCCCCATTGACGACGAGAATGGTGGTGGCCGGAGTGGAAACGCTAGGAGCCGTTGGAAAAGCGTACGGAAAGGCCTCATGGTGGTCATGACAATTGAGGATCACACGTAGATATCGGCTACCAACACAATTGAGCAGCATTCCCGGTCCAAACTTGTAACGGACAAAGTTGCGAATGTGAGCTTCTTCTGCTTGGTCAGTACCGAACAAGGTTCATACGGGGCAGCGCAGGCAAGACAGAACGCACGTACAAAATACCTACGGGTGCACGTCCTTATCCTTGACCAGTATCCGTATGCGGATAACGAAAACGCTCAACAATCAGGGTTACATACTCTGATTTGGAAGAAGGTTGTATGCAAGGACTGCAGAGCTGATCTGATACATGACCAAAGGCAAACACGTCAAGTATCGATCATATGTCTGATCCCAAAAAGTCCCAGGTCTCAGATTGTCAGAACTAATGTTGCTGACCGAGCGCGATATCGATCTAAAGTTCCGGTATGATTTGTACTATTTTCGGCAAGATAACATTCCGAAACTAACGAGGGATTTCCGACTTGACCGTTTGTTCACCTTGGAAGGCTTATTATTTACATACACCTTGTGACTTTCGCTTTACGATGCCAGGTCTTTGCCGAAGCGGCGAATTCTCCCTGGTTCGCTTCTCGCAACGGCGGTTTCGAAACACGTCGTCTTACTCCCTCCACTTTTATACATTGGCTTCCGCCAGAGAGGCCCACAAACTCCCGCAACTTCCAGCATCAGGATTCTCGAGCTTGAGGCTAAAATGGCCTCCCTCCGGATGACAGGAAATGAACCCTGGTCGGGTACAGTACAGTGCTGCCATTCTACGATAGCATCGACCGTAGCAGTTCATATACCTACCGACCTACCTAGCTTGTTACATAATGAGCTCTATAGTCGGGTCTTGACGCACATCACAAGGGCTGCCGCTGAGCATTACTTTCTTAGCATGTTTCCTATGTAACACACACTAGTGAGTCTAATTTGATGTTTGCCAGCATTCGTACGGCAGACAAACTCTGGCATGATTGATAGATTGCGTCCACCTTCTCTTGCAAGGATCAATGCTTGCCCACGTATGCCGGGGGCCTTTGAAACTTCTGTTCTAATCATTGGGTATTCCGCACTCCGCTGCTCTGTAAGAATGGAGCGTGCTGTACTGTACCATACAGTATGTATATAGACCGGGTCCTGGGTGTTATGCCGGCTTCCATATTGAATTCGGATCTGTATCTACTCACATCGATTCGAATCGCAGATCTTCCGTCTTACCCATATTACATACCCAGGCTGAGTACAGACAGCAATCCACGATCGTCTTGGTTGGTTCAAGGCCCACGCTCCCAAGGCCTCCTGGATATCCACGCGTGGGGACGGCTGCATGTTGCACGAACAAGAAAAGAAGCGGACACAAGAAAGACTCGGGAGAGAGGGGATTATATCTGCTGCACGGGATTGTGCACCAATGACCTGAGACAGCCGTTGAACTCCTGGAAAGGGAAAGCATTGTGTGCTTAGCATACTCATACGTACGTACGTGGATCAACCAACAAAGACCTATATTTGCATAGCAATACGGGTGCAATGTCAGCAATGGCTCCATTCTGTTCTCCGCCTAGTCATCTTTTTGAATCTCGAGTCCCCTTTCGCATTCCAATACAAAGGCCTGGGGAGTTGTCGAAAGCCGGATGTTCTGGTGCCAGTTCAGCCCGCAGCCCAATAACCCACGCAACGCAGACGAAAGGAGCACCTAACTGACTGACGGAGGCAGTAGTTAAGGAAACCCATCAATCAAACAAGAAGCTGTTGCTTTGCCGCCTGTCTCCTTTATCCGTATCCGGAGTGGGCTTGATGGTGCTTGTATCCAGGTCGACCTGCCCACGATCAACAAGATCAATCTGACCCTTCGGCGGCGGATGCCCGCATTGCGTTGATACTAACGTGGTTCTCACATGGAAGGCCTGCGATCCATCGCAACAAGATCACAGTAATTATGCCATTGAGCAAGCCAAGGCCGTCTCCACGGTCAACTGCCACGAGCAGTTTCAGCGATACCGCCGACAAATCAGGGCCAAAATTGACTAATGAGAGTAAAAATGTGCCGTCGCAAAAGCGACATGAACGGCAAAAGTCCCGGGCGGCACTACTACTACTACCCCAGAGCCAGAGCCAGAGCCAGAGCCAGAGCGGCGCCACATCTACAGCCACTACCAGCATAATACCGACCGAATCTCCAATTGCTGATGGAGATGCCCAAAAGGAAAACAATGAGAACGATCCCATTGACGATTCTGGTGCCATTGGTGCATCTGCATCAACCGGGGGTCGTTTTACAAGGCCAGACTATCTACTCCATGGCTTACTTACACGAGCCAAGAACCGTGTAAAAGAACGAACTGGGCGAGACAAGGAAAAGGGCAACGGAGATGTAAGTCAAGATTTTTGATAAGTTATTTACTGGAATTATTCCTGACGAGACTCCCACCCACCATCTCCATCATAACTGCAAGTCATAATTAGATTCATTCCCTGATCAGTGCGCATTCTGAGAGACAATGGAACATCAGACCACTGCTCAGCCCAGCCCAGCCCAGCCAACCACTGTCGCGTGCTAGGGCGATCTTCTCTCAGGTCATGCGATTGCCGTCCAGGGCCCTGAATTGGCCCCTCAATGGGCTCAGTTCGGGGGCGCCTTTGACCGATGGTATTATCCGGCCTAGAGATGTCATGATGGTCCAATGTCCGGTCTTTCATGTCAATTGACTCGGCGACTTTTTTCCCCTTTAAGCACTACCTACCTACCTATGTTTTAGTTTCTTGTGACCCTGCTGTCCTCCCCCTCTGTTCTGTTGTGTTCTGCTCTGTACTGTACTGTATTACACTACACTTCTGTCTCGGAACTAATTGCTCCCTTCACTGCAAACAGACAACATCAACTGTTACAAGTCCAACCAAAGCCTTCTCTTCCTCCCCGCATTCTCCTCCGCCACGCGCCGCTCCTCCCGACCGAGGCTTCCGCCGTAAAGCCCCACCTCGAGCTTCTACAGGCAGATCTCAAGGAGGTACTAAGACACCCTCATCGTCACAGTCGCCGTCACACTCACCACCACGGGCTCTCACTTCCCCGCGTTCACCACCAGACCAGAACAAGCCTCTTCCTCCTCCACCTCCTCTGCCGAACTCGGGTGCCTTGTCCGACAAGGAAAATGCCACTTCTCCTCCGCCCAAGCCCGTCTTGAAGCTGAACAGAATCATGTCTACTCTTACCGACTCAGAGATTGAGAAGCTCTTCTCTGGAGCCCCTCAGTACTTTGCCCGTAGCGAGGGGCACTGTTCTGGCGCCCCCAATCCCAGCGTCGCATTCCCCTTTGATGAGGCATTGGAGATCCGCGACCTCACTGATCATGTCCAAATTGAAGATAGAGCTTGGAGTGGCCTTACAGCATGGCCTCATCTAACTCGAGATCTCAATCAGGATGCCGCTGCCCGGGCGCAGGCCGTTGACTCTCGCAAGGCCCATTTCTTCATCCGTTGTCGGGAACGTCCCAATATGCTGAGCATGCAAGGTCTAGAGAAGGGTACCATGGGCTTCTCAGCTGCCCTCGAACTCGCCGTTGGCGACGCCCTCGAAGAAGAGCAGTTCGGTTTTGACAGCGTTGGCAAAAAGGCCCATGCCATTGTCGAGGCACGTGAGCGCATGCTTTCCTCTCTGGGCTACCTGCGTCGTCTGCCTGAGACAGAGCTGCTGGATCGTCTCAAGCGAAACGCCGAGCTATACCGGGTCAATGATCTTCGAAAGAAGACTTCCGTCCAGACGTATCAGGATCTCTTTCACACTTTTATGCGACCATGCAATTCCGTTGTCGATAAGCGCGACCACTATAGCTTGACTAACCAGATTAATGCCTTGATCAAGTGTCTTGGCACCGCCAACGTTTGGTTTGACTTCACCCATGTCGAATGGAGGATCAGATTGGGTCAGATTCTTTGGGGAGGCGAAGACAATGATGAACTTGAGGATACTTCTTCCATCCACGACGCTAGTAGTGCCAGCGAACGGGCTGAGGAGAAGTATTGGCTCCTCATGCAGATTCTTGTTGCTACCGAGCTCCTCATCCGCTTAGATGCCATCACCGAGGGTGAAGAATACGGGGTCGAAGCTTTCCGACCTGTAGACGTTGTTCACTTTGAAAGAGCCGCCACTCCCATGGTCAAGTGGTCGCTTCATCTTGCCAGGAGCTGGCTCGACAATATCGAGATTGAGAAGATCAAAGAGGATCCACCAAGCAACCCTTCCGAGACAAAGGGACCAGCTACTCCTCCGCCTGCGACCGGCTGGCTAGGCGCACTCTTCAGTAAATTTATCGTCCGTCAACATCATGAAGACAAGACGACAGCAAGCCATACCTATACTATCAAAGGTCGCAATCCACAACAACAGGTAGATGGCCTTACTCATTTTGCCAAGAAGCTACTCTGGCCCAACATCGACACATACGAGGGACTCATCGCGAAGAACGCTCGTCAATCGATTATTAATTCCGTGCCTAAGCCTGCTCCTACGACGGCCTCTGAGAGATCATCAAAGTCTTCTGAGTCGAATGGATCTAAGCGGGGGCTTTACTTTGGTGCCTGGGATCGTCCTGGTAGCCAGAAGGACAAGACTCGACCACAGCGACGAAAGCTTGCAGCGGCGCTTCACCCCTCAGGATGGCTTTCAAAATCATATATTTATGGTCTGGTACTGCCTGGAGATGGCATGTGCCATTTCCTGATGGCCACGCTTCTCGAGAACGACAGCAAAGCCATGGAGCGTTTGGGCTCGTTCGCTAATTTGTGTGGAGGGTTTGTATATTCTGGCAAGAGCTTTTGGAGCACGTCATGCATCGTAGGTCGAGTTATTGCAGCAGGACAGGGATCAGCCGAGTGCATGGGATGGGTTTCCAGCGATATTCTACCCCTGGGCATAGATGAAGGTTGGGTAAACATTGAAGTTGAAGAAGTGGCTGGTAAGTTGTTGTATGCTGTATTGTGTAAGAAGAGCATTGAGCTAACGGACAGAAGAGGACAAGGCCCATCTAGGCAAGAAAGCGAGACTTTGGGCAAAGAAGCGAGTTGAACGAGAATCATCCATCCTCGGAGATGCCGATGAATATTCTGTGTTCCCTGCCGACTTTATCATCCCCCACGAGAACAACTACTCTACGCCGCCGCCATTGATCAGCGTTACTTTACGGTCGCTTGAGCTTCTTTCTCCGGCCAACTCAATTCAGTCCACACCCTTCACCAAGCTGACACCCGGTGGCGCAAGTGTGAACAACAAGGAACCCGAGTTGTTATCATTCCCAGCCAATGTCAACTTTGCTGTGTCGATTGACGGATTCACGGCTGAGAACTTCTCATTCTCCCTATCCTATGACATTAACTTTGTCACGGCGCACCCCTGCTCGCCTTCTCATCGTGTCCGATTTGTGAAGTCGCCGTCAAGTCCGACAATCCAGCAGATCGATGTGTCTGGGTCGGATACGTTTGGGCAAGGTTCTCGACCTGCTCATAGAACAGGTAAGGTCAAGTGGTTTCTGATCAATGTCTCACAGCTAACTCTAGTCAGGCCATCCCTTACACAAATATTACAATTACACTGTTATTCATATTTCGGAGCTTCTAAAGCGGCAGCATGCTCCCCTGTCAGAGTTTCTGGCTGTTCCTCAAACCCACCGTCGCTCGCCTTCACGCATGGGCAGCGAACGAGTGCTTGTTATTGACTGTATCACCAACTTATCCGAGGTTCCTCAATCTCCCACGATTGAGAGACTTACCTCAAAGTATAATATTGTTCAGCGAAGAGGTAGTTTTCCTGCTGCGGAACAGATGCATTTCGAGTCCAGAAAACGACAGTTTGGCTCCGACATGGAAATCCTGGTTCGTGCTCTTTGCGCTCAAAAGGGCTGGAATGCCATTATCAGTCGACGAAAGCGAGGATGTCTGGCTTGTGCTATTCGTGAAGCTGGCGCATTACAGTGGAAGGTTATCATTAGGGTGGAGTAGGAAAAGCTCGCCTACGTTGTAGCGAGCGTATCATTTGGCGTTTATGTCGTGGGGGGTATGCTGTGTTTGTGAAATGGGTACAAGGTTAACTAAGCCTTGGTCTTTGGTTTGGTTGTCATGATACATGTCTGGCGCGGATGACCTGGGAGGATACCCGTTATGTATATGTACACGAGAGAGATGTCTGACTTGATTCATTCTAACTTCTGCCTCTGGGTAACGCTGATGTTGAAGAGCCTCTATAATGTGAATATTCATGTTCTACGGCATAAGAAAGCCATTTCCCATTTAGGTAAGTAGGTCATTTCCACGCCACGCTACCCCACTCGAGGAAGCGCCACAACTCGAGCCTCACCCGAGACGACAGGTCGCGCGAGCTCAGAGGTAATTGCGACAACTGTTGAACAACCGTCAATCCTCCTCATTCACAGCAGCAAATATGTCGCCTACCAAGGATCCCAGAAGAGCTGACCTGAGTATGATTGCCCTCTAACTCCAAATACCAGTCCATCGCCTTGCGCACGAAGCACAATTCGATCATCACGATGGCGACTTGAAGCTAACTCCGTGACAGTCGTCCCTTACCAGGAGCCCAAGAGCTCAGGTGACTCGACCGATCTCTCCTCAACGATGTCTACCACCCTGCCAATGGCTGCTATGTTTACGCGTAATAAAATGGTTGGATGGTACGTTTGCCGAATGAGCCTTGAGGATGCGCGATGCGATGCGATGCGAATCGAAGCGAGATATGATATGCGGCCGGGTTGCTAACGAGACTTGGTAATACGTAGGGCTTCGGTTGTCTTCTCTATCCAGAGCTGGCTCGGCGAGAGCGAGGACTCGAAGAAGAACTCCACCACTCCTGGATACTTCTCCGTTGGCATGTCCAGTAAGACCACCCCTATATCCGTCGAGATTCGAGAATACGTGCTAACCGGACGCAGTTATGGCTCTTGCTGTTACTTACCTTCCTATGTTCCTCCCTCCCGTGGGTGGCAAGCAGGCCTCTGGCACTGAGGCCCCTGCTCCTGTCCCTCTGGCATAGTAAGCAAAGAGGTCGGGCTGCATCTAGCGGGAGGACTTGTGGAGGAGGAAAACCACCTTTAATTATTGCTGAGCGTTATCATTATCAAGGTTCCAAATTGATCCGTACTCTGGGCGGGATTTGGTGGACAAGATATTTGTATTATGAGTTCTTGTAAGAATGGACGAGCTTTCAAGTCCAAAGAGTTCTGCATCCTTTACCCCATTCTCACGAACTATGACAACCTGATTTCGTTCAACATGACGTGATTGTCGATGATTCAATACTGTCCGGGAGTGAAAATGGGCCAAAAGTGCGCGTATTGGTCTCGATGTTAGCGCAACCATCACCACCAGAGCTGTTTGGTGTCAATGGACCTTAATATGAGATGTCAAAATAAATCCAGCAAAAGGGATCCTAAACTTGGCAAAAATATCCTAAGTTTAGACTAAATTACCTAAGCCTTTTTGTCACTTAGGATCAAGGTCCTGAGTTTTCTTTCCTCCCCTAGAGCACCTAACAAGGATCATCACTGTATTACGGACTCAAATTACAAGACTAAGGTTCCAGACTGTAAGACGTTAAGAATGGCTCGTTATTGGTGGATGTTGCTGATGACTTCAATTGAAGCTTGAGATCTACTAACTTGCATAAAATGCATCAGATTATTGTGGAAGGGGACTTGAGGTCCTGCACTAGCTGCACTAGGGGGTAAGGAAATACAGCGGACGGGCTTTGGTGGGAGAACAGCGATTTTTGGTGTAAGCCGTTCCGCTGTTTTTCCTTACCCCGAGGCTGCAGTACTCCGTACCGCGGGGCTACCTGCTTCACAGTGCTTTACGCGGGCCACGTATAGAGGGGTTGTGCGCTACTCCGCAGTGACATAAATATCAGAGATGCCGTCCATCAAAGCTTGGACTCATTATTATGACACCCTCAATCCGTTGCTGGGGCAATTCATTATGTCATTTTTGGACGATACCAAAACGATACACTCATGCAAAGTCCCTTGTACTCAACGGCTTCACCAAGCTGCACATACCCTCACGACGACACTCACCGCCCAGCGCATGAATGAAGTACCCTGACGACCTTTCAGGCCAGTCGACCACTAAACATATCAAAAAACCAAAGCCTGGTGGCCGTTTTGCATTTAAACCACAAACGACCCTCTCATCAAAACAACAACCTGACTTCTCCAAACTTTCCCCACGCCATACGCATTCCAAGACACGCATCAGCGATTCTACTGCCCTTCAAGACCTCGGTGCCATGGTCAACGAACGGGCGCCCCCTAAGGTGCCTCTAAACTCCATCACTCCGAATGGAGAAAACACATCCCGCGAGTTGTCTCCCGACGATGATATCACTGCCCTTGTCCGTGGTATGAGCTCGCTCAAAGGCAAAGTTCGGGGAGACATGAGCAACCCCTTTAATCCCGCCGGCGCAACCAACACGCCCACATTCGGTCATCCTACCAAGATGATGTCCTCTCGTAAGCAGAGAGCAGACCCTTTCATACGGCAGAAGACACGACCGGAACACCACCTCGATAGTCGAAGCAGCAACAGCAACAGCAACAGCAACAGCGGTGCTAGAATCACAGGCCCTCGAGGCCCAGTATACCAGGATCGAAGACCACCACCAATGCCCATGTTCAGCTCGGGTGCGCCTTCTGCACCACCAGTTGCATCCTCATATGCGCCTGCAAGACATTACGGCGAGGAGACTTTCTACACAGATCCTGCCACGGCGAGTGCAGATTTGAAGGCTTTGCTTGAGGGTGGTATGGAAGAGGGCGAAGAGGAGGGCGGGGAACAGAGCCAAGCTGATGGCGAAAAGAAATCAGAAGATCCAAAGGATCCCAAAGACGGTACAGTGGATGGCCTCAAGGTCAAGCTACTACCTCACCAGGTCGAAGGAGTTGAGTGGATGCGAGGACGAGAACTTGGCCCTGTGAAGCGAGGGAAAGTCCCCAAAGGAGGCATCCTCGCCGACGATATGGGTCTTGGAAAGACTCTTCAGACCATTTCACTTATCCTCACCAACCAGAAACCAGCCAAGGACGCACCTGGATGGAAGAAGCACTTTGAGAAGATCGAAAAGACAACCCTGGTGGTGGCGCCACTTGCTTTGATCCGACAATGGGAACACGAAATTAATGATAAAGTGGAAAAGATCCATGGTCTCAAAGTCTGCGTACATCATGGACCGAACCGTACTAAGCGGTTTAAGGAGCTCGCTCTGTACGATGTTGTCATCACAACTTATCAAATTCTGGTTTCTGAGCATGGCAACTCCTCAGATGCCGAGAATGGATTGAAAGCGGGATGCTTTGGCTTGCACTGGTGGCGAGTCGTTCTCGACGAAGCCCACACAGTCAAGAATCGCAATGCAAAGGCTACCAAGGCTTGCTACGCCCTGAACTCCGAATACCGATGGTGCTTGTCTGGTACACCTATGCAGAACAACCTCGATGAACTCCAGTCACTCGTCAAATTTCTCCGCATTCGACCCTACGACGATCTCAAGGAGTGGAAGGAGCACATTGATCTACCCCTGAAGAATGGCCGCGGTCACATCGCCATCCGCAGACTACACAGTCTTCTCCGATGCTTCATGAAGCGGAGAACCAAAGAAATCCTCAAGGAAGCTGGCGCGCTTAACCCTGGTGGTAAGCCTTCCGCCGAGGGTGAGGGTTCCTCAACAGGCTTCAAGGTCACCGAACGAAAGGTTGTTACTATATCGACTGCACTGTCACCTGCAGAGCGCAAGTTCTACGATCGATTAGCTGCTCGAGCAGATCGAAGTATCGAGCAGATGATGCAAGGCAAAGTCAACTATGCCAACGCTTTGACTTTGCTGCTCCGTCTACGCCAGGCCTGCAATCATCCCAAGCTGGTTGAGGGCAAGCTGGAGAAGGACAAAGACGCAATGTCGACAGACGCTACCCAGAAGACCCAGGATACGGACATTGATGCCATGGCTGACATGTTCGCCGGTATGGGCATCGTTTCTAAGGACTGTAATATTTGCGGGCGAGGCTTGAATTCCGAAGACAACAAGTCAGGCAAAGACATCTGCGCTGACTGCTACGGTGACCTAGCATATTTTAACAGCCACGAAAGGCCAGAGCGGTCAGAGCGGCCCAAGAAGTCCAAGAAGCCCAAGGATAAGAGCAGAAAGAAAGACAAGAAGAGGGAAATAGTTGACGAAAAAGTCACTGACAGGCAAATTGTTGAGTTTGACGACGATGAAGATGAGGATGACGACGAGTCCCTTAAGAAGACCTCGGGGCGACCGCGTCACCGAAATACGGTAGTTGACAGTGATGACGAGGACGTAGAGTCCCCAAAGAAGACAGCTCGTCAGCCTCGGAATCGCAACGCCATCGTTGACAGCGACGATGATGAGGATGAAGAGGCTGAAGGCTCATGGCTTGTACCCGAGGATCAGCGGGGCTCCATACATCTGGGAGAGGCTGGTGGCGAACAAGATGAGAATGCTGAGGGCGGAGGCGACTGGATTGGCTCCGATGACTCAGAAGATGAAGAGAGTAAGGTTGAGGACAAGAGCAACTTGAGCAGCTTCATCGAAAATGACGAGAGTAAAGGGGATGTGGCCTCCGACTCTGATGACTCCTTGGCGTCATTGACAGATATCACAAAGCGCATGGCTGCCCAGACGCTGGACGATGGGCCGTCTCATGCAGCTGACACTACAAATGCAGGCACAGACGCCGATACCACCGCTGCTGATACGACGGCTGTTTCTGGATCATCGGCTTCAGATTCGGGATCTGACTCTGGCTCTGATTCTGACTCTGACGAATCGGATGTCTCGTCTGAAGAAGACGACAGTATTTTCTATCCATCCCGCGATCTCAACTCCCCTCAAGTTCTCGCTTCTTCCAAGATTCGAGAGCTCATCAAGATTCTTCAAGGTGAAGTCAAGGAACACAAGTTCATTGTCTTCTCTCAGTTCACTTCTATGCTTGATCTCGTTGAGCCCTTCTTCCGCAAGGAACGATTCCGCTTTGTCCGTTACGATGGCAGCATGAAAAACGATCAGCGCGAAGAAAGTCTACGAAAGTTAAGGGGCGACCCTCAGACCCGTATCCTGCTGTGTAGTTTGAAGTGCGGTAGTTTAGGACTCAACCTCACGGCAGCGACCCGAGTTGTCATCCTCGAGCCCTTCTGGAACCCAGTATGTTCTCCTATTCTTAACCCCCTTTCCATATCATGATGCTGATTTCTTTGCTAGTTTGTCGAAGAACAGGCCATTGATCGTGTCCATCGTCTGACCCAGACAGTCGATGTGATCATCTACAAGCTCACAGTCGCTCAGACTGTCGAGGAGCGTATCCTTGAGCTGCAGGAGAAGAAGCGCGAGCTGGCCGAGCAGGCCATCGAGGGTGGCATGCGTAAGGAGGCTCTCAAGCTCGGCATCAATGAGATCATCAACCTCTTCAAGCCAGGATCTTCGGAGAACCCGGTTGTTATTGGCGCTGATCCCTCTGCTGCCGGCAACGAGAGCTTCAGTGGTAACGAGCGCAGAACTGCGGCTTCGTCGCAGAGACGGCCAGGACGGCCCAGAAAGGAAGAGAGTGAAGTGTATGGTCGACGATGGTGAAGCAATTGCTTGCTGTAGACATTGACGATGAGATGGTCATGATTGGAATAGGTGTTCAAGAAGGCTCAGGATTTAGGACATGGCGCAATGAATTATTCTTGTTTTGGCATTAACGACATGGTTTGTGAACTCACATGTCCTGACCAGATAACAGATCGGACAATATTATCTACATTTTTTAATCAACTGATCTGCTCATAGCTCATGAGAATTATGTTCATCCTGTGCCTCATTGCACTCCAGCCGAGACTTACATGTCCTGGCCTGGCACCCTGCATGTGTCTTCAGTCTTTCCATCTCTTCCGATCTCTATGGCTCTCATCTACATGTTTGTGAGAATGTTGCCGAGCCCCTTGAGCTTTCTCAAGGGAGCTCCATAGCCCAGCTCC